TTGATCCTGATCTTGCTGGAGCCGATCCCTCCATATGTTATCCCTGCGAGGTACCACAAGCTGAAGGCTCTCATGGCAAAGAGAACCTACCTGGAGTGGCCGAAGGAGAGGAGTAAGCGTGCCCTTTTCTGGGCCAACCTGAGGGCAGCTATTAGCATTAAGCTGCCAACATCCTTTGAAACAGATGAGGAGCAAAATGACGTCACATCTAGTAGTAGTATGACTCAACGTCTGATTAAGTGACTTGACTATCTCGCAGTATTTTTCACTAATCAGAGTTTTGTAGGTTTTTTTTTTAACAGTATTTTTAGGTTCTCACCTAAAACGTTGGTAAGCCTTCCTAAATTGCTGTTACTTATTTTACTTGTGCAAGTAGTCAGAAGTTTTGTTATTATCACACAAAGAGTGAGAGAGAAATTTTGCTAGTGACTGCACTTATTTTTTTTTTTTTTACTCAAGTTGCTTTAATTTTGGATGTATCCCATTGATTCCAACTCTATTTGGAAGTAAAAGATACTCATTAATTCAGTGCTGTCAGGAATATTAAGGTCATGGCCTTAATCTTTGCTCTGATGAACATGTTGTGGAGTAAACGTGGTAGGGATCTACTTCCTTTAGATCTAACTAAATTGTGCAAACAAGAAGAAAATTCTTGTTTATAACCATTTGTATGCCAGTATAATAGATGTCAAGGGTACAGTATCTCTACACCTTCAGATCTGTCTTTTAATTACCCCAGGTTTATGTTGATTTCTGGCAAGCTTTTCCCTTAGTCAGAGACGGAGACTGTCCTGGGTAAAAGCTGGAAGTTGGAGCCATAATACCTGTTTAATATCCATCATACTTCGCTATGCCCTAATTGCCATTTGCCTAGATTTACCCATTAAGTAATGATTTCATGGAATTCACCACTGGTAGTCTTCAAAATAACAGTTAACTTCTGAATTTATGATTTTTAATACTATTAAAATATTTTTGTTTCTACTGTATTCATATGAAGCTGTATGGTGTTATTTTGCATTTTTTCTGAACTACAGTTATATGTATCTCAATCATATTTTCTTATCATGAGCTCTTTCACCTTTGAGGGCAAGAAAACAGAAAAAAATGCCTCAGTCTATTACAATTTGATTACAAAAAGTTCTCTCAGTTGCATCACTGTCGTTCTTCTGTTAAATTACAAAATATATCTTCTTGCTCTCTCTCTGCAGCTGTTATAAAGTAGTTTTGTAGGTATTTAGAGTATGTCACATGGTAACATTGCAGGAAAACCCCTATTATTTATAGAAAGTTGGTAACACTGCACGTGAACAATAGGAAGCAGAACTTGCACAACCATTGAGAAAGAGCTGCATTACCAAAACTGTCACTGAATTAGGTCATTTCTCGTTTAAACTCAGAAGACTGATATTTTGGGTTAAATCCCTTGTTATCTCTAGGAGACATCTAATCACTTGCTATGTGTGACTTTAATTTGATAACCTAATACGTTTCATTTTTTTGTGTTCTTAACCTTCCTGCTGTGGTATGTCTGGTGGCCAGGAGTTGCACAGTTGCCTTCCCCAATTGATGGAAGTGAGAGGCCCTTGGCTGCTGCATGTGAAGTGGGTGAGCCAGATGGAGGACGTGATCCCTCTCACCTGCTGCTAACCCTGCAGTGGGAGCTGGAGGATGCTGTGGCTGACAAGCAGGTTGTCTGGGGAAGGGAGCTGTTTAGGTACACCAAGGGGCCTGCAGGATTTCATGAGGGGAAGACCTTGTCCTGACCTGTGTGTCACCTCATGGAAACCTCTGAGCAGCCCAGGCAGCAGGCACCAAGGGCTGCCAGATTCACAGCAGTGACATCCAGTGAGGCTGCAGCCAGGAGTTGCAGCTAGAGGTGCTGTGTGTCCTCCTCAGCAGGTTTTCTCCACTTGCACAGCCTCACTACATGCAGACTGTTCACTTCCTCAGTAACACTGCTGTTAAGCAGCTGCCTGGCTCAGCCTTAGTGGCTGCTTCATGATGGCTACAGCCAGAGTCTGTCGATGATTGAGGGTCTGAAAAGCTGCCCAGCACTCAGATGCGTAAGGACTTGTTCAGAAATACAGGCCAATGCATTGAGCTGGTCATGGGCTTTGCAGCCTTTACCTCTCCTGGGCTCATCTGAGCTTTGCAGCCCAGAACACTACCAGAAATCCTCCTAAAATGCCTTTCTCTAAACCTTTACAGTCTAAGGGTATAAAGAGCATTCGTATTTTGCACAAATCTTGCAACAAGTACACATGCTGTTCCTGTTCACTAGATGAGAAAAGAGGAAGTAAAATTTCTCAAGTCAGACTTTCCAATGTCCATAGATTTTACTCAGCAAGATTTCTAATTTTTTTTTTTTAATTATTATTTTATTTTTTTTAAATGTGCATTCGTAGGGATGTTTCTTGTAGAGTTTTCAAACCATACAGGATACAGGACGTGAATAGTTGGTTGAAATGTTGAAAAACAGCCATAGTAATGTCTGTATTTATAAAACTGTTTTCAAGAACTTCCCTCACTGAAATCACAGGACTGAAAGCATATATGAGAACAACGTCTTGTACTGATTTTGCTAATGTTTGGACAGACCAGAATTTTAACTTTAAAGGGTGTGTTGAATGCATTTTCGTGTCTGAAAAGCACAAAATCCATCTTGAAACCTTCCACATATTTCTGTGTGTAATGAGATCAGACTCTGACAGAAAATAAGACAGAAGAACTTTGTTTCTTAATTGTGAGTGAAAAAATATTTTCTTAAAGTGCATTCCAGAAGGCCCTTGACAAACTTGGAAAGTGGGCTCATGTGAACCTGATGATGTTCAGCTTAACAAAATGGAAGGTTTTGCACTTGGGCTGGAGCAGTCCCAGATATGTACACTGGAAGAACTCCTTGAGAGAAGGACCTGGGAGTCCTAGAGGATGAAAAACTAAACATGAAACAGTAGCATGCTCTTTCAGCTTGGAAGGCCAATTGTAACATAGGCTCCATCATAAGAGAAGTGGCCAGCAGAGACTGGAAGGCAATTGTCACTCTCTACTTTGCCCTCATGATTCTCCATCTACAGTACTGCATTCAGGTTTGGGACCCCCCAGTACAGGAAAGACATGGAGAGTGTCCAGGGAAAAGCCACAAAGATGATCAGAGAGCTAGAACACTTCTCCTATGTAGACAGACTGAGGGAGCTGGGGTTGTCTAGCCTGATGCAACACAGCAACATAAAGCAATGACTGCAGAATAGCAAGGTTCTAAGCTGCAACAAGAACTTGCTCCGATAAAATAGCTACGGTCACAGGAAAAAAAATATCAGCTTACCTTCAGAAAACCTCAGGTATGCAGTTCACCAGCAAGAGGCCTTTACCTCACTGCCAACCTTAAATGAGATCTGGGAAGGGGTGGATTCTGGCTCCATCATTTCCATTCACCAGGTGCACTGCATCCTGCCTTCCTACCAGGTGCTCAATCACTGTTTCAAGCAGTGACTTAACGTTTCTGCTACACTGGGAGAAGAGAAGGATGTGGGGAGACCTCACTGCAGCCTTCCAGTATTTAAAAGGGGATTATAAACAGAAGGGGAATCAACTTTTCACAAGGGTAGATAGTGATAGGACAAGGGGGAATGGTTTTAAGTTCAAGGAGGGAAGGTTTAGATTTTACATCGGGAGAAAGTTCTTTACTATGAGAATGATGGAACAGGCTGCCCAGAGAAGATGTGGATGCCCTGTCCCTGGAGGTGTTGAGGACATGGTTGGATGGGGCCCTGGGAGCCTGATCTTGTACCACATCTGGAGGTTGGTGGCGTGGCATGCAGCAAGAGTGCTGAAACTCGATAATCCTTGGGGTCCCTTCCAACCCAAGTGATCCTATGAGTCTTGTCAGCTTAAATTTGCTATTTTTCTCAGATAAAGGGTGACACCCAGTGGCCGATTGAGTTATCATGAAACATTTCCCGAAAATGATCACTCATGCTAAAATACGTACAACATATTTTTCCTCTTTGTATTAAGAGTATGTATCTTTCTCCTCCCCCACCCCCCCCCCCCCCCCCCCCAAAAAAAAAAAAAAAAAATCTAAAACAAATAATTGAATTAGTCCAGCAGACTCAGGGGCCCTTTGAGGTGTGTGTGGCATGTAAGAGAAATTCTGAGTCAGGAGGTGCCTATCCTGCTTGCTGATCTTGTGCTGGTTCAGTGGCTGTGGGTCAGTCCCCTGCTCTACTTTGCTCCTACTGAGTGGGCTGCAGGCAGTGTGTACTGCTTCACTGAAAAACGTGATCCGTTGGGCTGGGACTCCTCTCCTGCGAAGAAAGGCTGAAAGATTGTCAATGGTCAACCTAGCGAAGAGAAGGCTCCAGGGGTTTGGAACTTGATGGTCTCTAAAGTCTCTTCAAACCAATCCATTCTGTGATTCTGTAAGTCTACAATATGAGCACTAGGCTGCTTTACAATGAGCTGTCTTTATTTTCAAGGGGAGCATGAAGATACACAAGCTGACTGTTTTCTCAAGGTTTTATTTTCTTGCCTCATTTCTGCTATCCCTGCTTTCAATTCTGTACTTCACCAACACTGCATTTGCACTCACTCTACAATACACCAATATCCTGAAAAAAAACCCAAAAACTTCAGCAAGAGTGGAAAGGAATTGCTAAAATGTGTACAATGAATCTTTGTTTCTAATAAAATGCTTTTAAATATAAAAGCATAGGCATAATATACTTCTTCATGAAGTATGCAGTTTGACTGAACGTTGTCCAAAGATTTATTTTCTACAGTTCTATTTTGGGCATTACTGATCTTGTGATCTCCCTCACCAGGTTTAGGAGTTTAGAGCAGACCACGAACTCTCCCTGGCTCTGGCCAAACCTCAGACAAGGTGTCAAAGCTCTCAAATCATCATTTCCCCACACTTCTCTGTGACAGCATACCCCTTGATTATCTGATCCTGTTGACAAGAACTTATTTTGCATTACCTAAT